CACCAGGCGGGCCGGATAAATGTCCTAGGCAGGCTGCATGTGGCCCACGGGCCATAGTTTGGGGTCACCTTGTTTACCTCGTAGCCATCTGCCCACCCAGCACTGCATTTGTTGTGCCTTTCAATCTCTCTTAACTAAGCACTACAGCACGATAGGTGCTGTTCATCTGGAATCTCAGCACCAGTTTCTGGGCACACAGAAGGGGCCTGCAGGATGGGGCTGCTGGATGGCTTTGTGTGGGTGGGGTCTGTGTACTGCAGGGGTCAAGCTGCCTGGTTCTTGCTCAGAGAGGCTTCCCATGGCCATCAGGTGGTGCTCATTTTGTGCAGGGCTGGTCATGATCCAGGTAGGGGAGGAATTTCGGAAGGTGATAATAGGTCCTTGAGATCCTGGGGGCCAGGCCTGGGAAGCCCCTGAGTTACATCCTAACTGCCACTCTCTAACTGAGAGAGCTTGGGAAAGTCACGTTGCCTCCTCTGCCCAAATGTCCTCATCAGTGAAAGGAGATGCCCCTCCTCCTCTCTGTCTCCCTTGCGTTGGAGCTGTAAGTATCCAGTGAGGTCATGGTGTGTGTGTTTTTTAGGATGTAAAGTGCCATGTAACAGTAAGCACCAACATGACTATCGTTACTTTTACACCTTCTTTTTTTACAGCCCGAGTTTCTGATCTTTCTCTAGCAGGCATGAAGAGACTAGGAGTTGCAATGAGCACTGAGATCAATTACTTTGAGCTTCAAGCCAGAGAGCTATATCTGGGAAGGCAGGAATGACATCTGACTCATTTTGGTATCTGTCCCTCCTGGGTTGCTGGCCAGGCAGAGTCTAGCACTCATAGGTACTTAGTGATGGCTGAATGGGTAGATGAAGAAATGAGTGATATGAGCCTGAGGATATGAACAGTGCTGTCAGGGAGCTTTGATTCCTTTATCCATCATTCATTCATTCATTCACTCACTCATTCAGTGGACTTTTCCCTGGGTGCCCGTTCCAGCCTAGCCTCAGGGCTAGGTGTGGAGCTGTGGACATGAAGGATGCCCAGTTCTCTGTGTGCCTGAAATGACACATTCAGAATGTCTGCCAAAAAGCTGAGAGCTAAATATATCTATACAATTTTTATTGAAGCAGCTATATTAACCCAGGTTTAGGCTATAATCAGGAATTCCTTTTTCCTCTCTGGGCTCGATCTTTGATTTTCCTTAATGACCCTCTTGTGTCTTTGTCTTATTTTGTCAGCCACTCCAGAGCTTTTGGGGAAATAAGCAGGGTACAAATTAGAAATCAATAAATGTGCAGTCATGAGTGTGTGTACATATGCCACTGGCTACGTTTTAAGAGAGCATTGCATCTCAATAGACGCAATGAGTCTGCTCATGCAAACTGTGGACTCTGCATGGCTGACGACTCCATAGTGTGCCGTGTGGAATAAACAGCAACTCTGGACACAGCTTTTCTCTTTATTATTAGTCCTATAGGAAAAGCTGGTTAGTAGTGTTTATCTAAAGAATACCTTTTGTAGCTTTTGGAAAGTCTATGTTCATGTCATAAATGGGTTTTGATAAGTGCTAGAAAGGGAAATAGTATGTATGGAGAGCGTTTGCTATGATGGTGACACTACTCACTAGCAAGCCCCAGATGTGCCACTAGAGGAAAGAGGAAGCATATCGGTTTGTGTAACTGAAGTCCAGCTGGATCCAAGGGCTTGCAGATGTCATTTGGACTTCACCTCATTCCCCCATTCCTCAGAACAGTGGGTATGTTGTCAAGTTAAAGCAGAAAAACAGAAGACTTACGCCATGCTAACTCAGCAATTCCAGTGAAGAGTGACTCCGTCGCTAGTCCTGGAGAAAAGAACCGAAGGTTCGCCCTAATTACTTGGCTTGGTCTCGTGCCCATGTCCCAGCGAATCCCCCTTGCAAATCAGATGGCGTCCTCTGGTCCTTCAGGTTTGGGTCATGCATTCATCCCACTTGTTTGGAGACGAGGGCGTGCAGGGTACGTGTCCATCCCACTTGCATGGGGAAGGGGTTCCTCCCAGGAAAGGTTAATTCTGTTATTAAAAGTAGGAGAAGGGATGCAAAATGTCAACATAGCACATAGCTGCAAGTTTGTTGAGCATCGACCCTACGCGTTTTCTGTGTTTTCGTGGAGACCTTGGGGTTCTCACAGTAACCCCTGAAGATAATGGCATTCACAGACACACTGAGGGGCACGTGCTGCTCTGAGCACTTGACGTCCGTTAGCCCACTTGATTCTCCTTGCACCCCCTGGGATAGGTACTGTGATTAGTACTATTCTGTAGGTGTGAAACTGAGGCACAAGAGGGTTAAGGAACTGGATCAATGTCATACAACTACTTAGAGACATAGCTGAGACCCAAGTTTAGGTAACCTGACTCCAGAGTCTGAGCTATAACGATTCTCTACCTAGTCAGTGCCCCTGTTTTATGGATGAGGAAACTAAAACTCAGAGAGTTTGGATTACCTGCCCGTATATCCCATATAGCTAAGAAGCAGCACGGGACACTGCCTCACACCCAGATTCAACTTTCATACCAGCCCTGCAAAGAGCATCATTCTAAAGCCTAGAAGGTTCTCTAACTCACCCCTAGTTGTATAACCAGGATGCAGTGGAAGTGGGTCTCGGTGCTTGCCTGTGTCTCTGCAAAGTCTCACAGTGTCATGCTAACTACTGCAGAGAGCTGAAGTTGTGCTAAAAAAGACAAGTAATTGACCTGTCAGTGCTTCTGTCTGGCCTTTGCTAGTTACCCTACCCACCCACCCCAGAGCTGGCACCATCTGATCCACGTGGGTGTTGGTGGTGGTCCTGTCCTCTTACTCTGTTTCTAAGCATATGAAGCATGTGCCACAGAGTCCTAGAGCTTGGATGTGACCCAAGCTTTAGGTAATATCACAGTGGTGTACAGAACACCCAGCAAGGTCACTTCCATGCCTTGGGCACTCAATAAATATTAGCACCCTATCATCCTGATGTAGATCCTAACGTTGGCAAGTGCAGGGATGGTGCACCTGCTCTTTCTAAGCTCCCTTTGGCCAGAGCTGAGGATGGGAGGAGGCAGTGAAGTGAAAGTGTTAAGGGACTACCAGCTGCGTGGCTGAGATCTTGGGTGAGTTACTTAACTTCACCAGACAACAATAAAATTTAC